TATATATATATATATATATATATATATATATATATATATATATATATATATATATATATATAAACTTTAGCAAGTGTATACTTTCATATTAACAAAGATTTAAATCCATTGTGGAGTAAAGCATTGACTTCTCTTCTCATATTAAATAAAATTCTAACTTAGATTTTCATTTTTCCAATAACTTCTGATAGCGGTTAGGATTGTTGGGAATTCAATAATGTGATTCAGATTTTAAATAAATAGTTATTTCATGAAGTAACATACTTTCAAGAAAAAAACACGTCAGTATGCTTGTGAATCTTTGTGAATACTCGCATAATGAAGAAGTCGGAAACAGTTCATCGCCTGTGGGCTTGATCTCATCTCTCTTCTCTTGTTTTGAAAGTTTAGTACTATTGTGTACAAGACCCTGGAAGGTATTCAACGTCTACGGCTCACTGGGCACTGGCGATTACATTTAAAAGTACACATTATCAAGAATCTTTTTTTCAAAATATAAATGGAAGTGTCTAATCCAGAGTTAGATCTCTGAGGTAGGGCTGTTCAAAACCGAACCGAATCGATGGCTTATTGGCTTATTGGTATTGGATTATCGGGGTAATGGATGGTGAACGGATTAAGATTTTATAATTAATGGCTTACCGATTTGGGGACGGATTACTCAATTTTTTTATCGGGTAAACCGTTAACCCGTTAAGAATTTTTCTATTTACACGTTCCAGCAAATTCAGACTACGTACTTGCAGCAGACTAATAAGAAGTTAGAAATGCATCTGTATTCTGTGCACTAATGATAGACTTTCTTTTTTCATAACAGAATTTTACCAGCTATATAATACAACTAGTGAAGTAGTCCGCGCTTCGCGCAGTTATAAAATACATTAATCCGTGAATTTGAAATATTATCTTAATGATATAATCGAGATAGATGAAATAATTTTTCCATGTATTTTCAGACAAAGTAATTCTATATCTTGGCGACACCACAAATAAAAATATTTTTAATTAAATTAGAGCTTAGACGAATACTATAAGATTTTCTAAAAAAACGAAAAGGGAAAACAACTTTATATGAATTTTTTTTACTTATAGATATGTGTATATACGTGGTTTTAATACACGTTCTTTACATGTAACATATATTAAATATATGAATATATTTTATAGTTTTTCCTTCTATTGGATGGTAAAAGAGTTACGTTAATCCTCTTGATGAAGACCAAAAGCAAGAACAAAAACAAAGTTACAAATTTATTTTCATCTCAAATAAAAAGTAAAACTCTCATAATTTTAGAATTGTTACAATGCTGATCATGGATGACATTTTGAACCTTTAAGGGTTAAGTTTACTTGACGTTTTTAATCATGTTTTTATTTCAACCTTAGCTTTTTCAGGAAGCAATATTTTTGTAGTAGATTTTTAACTGGTTACTTATCAGAAATCATCATCTCATTTTCCATCTTCTACTTTATTTCCTTATGCTCTCGTATATCCTCAAAATTTCATCTTCCACCGTGATTTTCACGTCCTCATTTTTCAGTCCTACCATAGAATATTATAGCTGATCTTGTCATTATTGTCCTTATATCTACCCGTAAGTTATTAGAGGTTCACGTTATAATAAGCACATTTGGCGAATTAGAAATGTAACTTGACTGGCTGGCTTCTTCTATCAACCTTGGAACCATGACCTATATTTATTATGGAAAGTCCAGTGCAAATATATNTGGCTTGGATTGGTATTAGTCTGGATACGGCAAAATCATTCTATTAGATCGAATAAGTACATTCGATCTAATAAGTACCTTGTGTTAGAATTGAGAAATTCTATGGCTCGGATCTTTAGTATTCTCTTATTTAAAAATTCGATCAAGCGGTCGGATGACACCGCTTGTAAATCCGCCCAATAATACACGTGGAAGAAGAAAATAGAACTCATAAGTAATTTTAAGAATAGAGACAAGTTGCAATAATAAGGAAAGGTATTAGCATAAAAAATGCTGCAAAATTCAAGAAAATTAGAAGAATCTCAGGAAGAGTCTCGAAGAATTTTAAATTTGATTGTAAACCTGACGATGTACTGATTCATGAGCTTTCCGAAAAAAATAGGGATATAGGTCACAATTGGACAAGGCCTCCCTCCTTAGCTTTATTAATCAGAGATGACAACGTCTGCAAAAGAAAACAATTTGAAGCTAAAAAATAGTAAAGTTTTAAACCAACAAAGGAAAATAGATTCAATATTTAGGAGAGAGAGAATTTACATTATCGGTGACAGGAAAGGACATTCAGATCTTTAAGAATTGAGCCATAAAACACTAAGAAAAAAAGAAGATTATATATATATTATTGAGGTAATGAGTATTAATGGAGAATGAACATGGGTTTATAAATAGGAAATTAAATTTACGTTACATTTGATGTAGTAATACATTTGAAGTAATGCTATTTACTGGGGAAAGGAACGTGGGGATACTGAAACGGAAGAATAATGGAGAAGAAGTCCCAAAATCCAGGGAAATAGCCAAAAATCTGAGAAAAAAGAGAAATACAAATCCTGGACCATGAGAGCTTCCACGTCACTGTTTTATTTCCCAGATTTATATATATAGATTGTTTAATCAATACTTTTCAGAAAATATGCATCAAAATTGAGACAGTACAAACGCAATTCCAAGATAGAACCAAAGAAAACATCAACACAACATCTCAAGATAGAACTAGAGAAAGAGATCTATGATTTGAAACCGTTTGGCATTGATTGAATGATTGTTGAAAAAAAATTCTACTTGGTTTAACCGATAAACCGCCCGATAATCGTTAATCCGATATCAATCCGCCCGTTGACTTATTGGATGGCTAGCGGATTACTACATTTATAATCCAATAACCGATAAGCCGAACCGTTAAGCGTAATTATCCGCCCGATAAGCACCCCTACTCTGAGGGGACTAAAATATTGTTGAGTTAAAGACTATTTTCTGGAGTGCACATTAAGACACACCTAAGAAGGTCAATATCTACTCTGTGCTACAATGATTTGCAGATGCTAAGGTAAATATCTACTCAATGCTTCTTGGTTAGAGTTGCTTTTGTGAGTGAAAACTGAACTCAGGAAAATATACCATCGGTTAAGGAAATAGGTGATGTGTTAAATAGGAAACTCAATTTTGCTTCTCATTACACTATAGCACTTGGAAAGTTTTAAGAAAAAACAGATGAGAGAAAGAAAAAAATAACCTAAGTATAATCCCCACCAGTACATATGAACACTTAAACAGAGTATTTTATCAGTTTGCAGATTATGATAATCAATAGCAAAGCATGAATTCAGTATTTTAGATGAAAAATTTCTCACTGAAAAGCTAATTACTTGAACATTATCAAAGCATGATTATATGACAGGCAGATTACAAGACGAAGGGGCTATTTTGAACATACACACGACGCATTACAAGTAATATCAGATGCAACAAGACGAAGGGCATACACACGGCGCATTACAAGTGATATCAGATGTTTAGGGAACGATCTACAAGTATTTTCAATATCCTATCCTGATAAAAGTAAGAATCTTATGCAGCATCTTTTGTTAGATCCTCCTAGGCCACGTTCAAAATTCGCCTAGATAGTGATAACTTTGTGACTGAAGAAGAAAGACAAGAAAAATCAGCCAATGAGTTCTACAAAAGCAAATAAAGAAAGAAACAATGGCAAAAATCACGGTGATTAAAGCATTTCCTCACCTGGACAAGCACTACCTTCACCACAACACCTCGGGAAATCCCTCGATTGGACAAATGAACAACAGAAGGTCATGCCCAGAGTAGCGTAACTATGAGAAACATCATAAAAGCCAAACCAAAGCAAAACCCAGCGATAACCATGAAAGCCTGCACTACAAAGTTACATGGTTAATTGCAAAAAGCTTGTTACATTGATGATGCTGGAAAAATTCACAATTTCACTCACTTTCCCTTGTGATTCAAAATTCATCTTGTTTGTAAACCATGATAATCCTCTGTCCACAAAAGGAGCGAGAGCTAAAGCCCTGCGGAGAATCAGCATGTGCTCTAGATTTCAAATTCTCACAGATAAGATACCCATGCAGAAGAGCTAAAATGTTTTTGAAGAGCTAACTTTTAAGACTGAACCTCATACTGAAAAGAATCTAACAAAATAAATTCTGTAAAAGCACAAAAATTATAATACAATTTCAGGAAACCCCATTTTATATAACAACCCGGACGCATGGTGTGCGTGTGTGCATGCATGCGTGCTTGACAGAAACTAGTTTAATCACTCTGGCAAAATACAACTAGATCAGTTTTATCTGAAATGTGATCCACAATTTCCTCCTTTATTCTCGTTCCATGGGGAAAATATAGATAGAAGAAAGATATATAACCTAAGCATGTTCAGAAATGCAAAATGTATGTAAAGTATATGAATCAGACACATTATTGACTCCTAGAAACATAGATGATAAGGGTTGACTCACAGCTCATAATTCCAATTTTTCTCATATTAAATAAGCTGTAGAAATCAAAGAGTTCTCTAAAAAAAAAAATCATTGGTGTCATTTGAAGAGAGAAATACTCATCTCATTCTGTTGTTATGTCCGTTGAATGAATTCTACATGAACAGGAACCTATCATGTATATGCTGTTATCCTATTGGTGCTTTTATTAGATGCAAAATGTCAGCTTAAGAGGCTGAGCTAAATGTAGGATCATACACCAAATCGACCTCTTCTTTATCTACACTCCGTCACTTCCTTTTATATGCATGTTCACTTCTAATATGAAATGCTGGTTTCCTTTGTCTCCAAAGAAGTACATAGGATGGAAACATATTCAATTAGTCCAACTAAAAGACAGAAAACAGATTTGTTTTATCTGAACAAGAAATAGTGAAATAGACAATTCCAACAGAAACTTTTGCAATTTGAAGGCTCCCACACTAACTCCCAAACATAGGCAAGGGACCAAGGACTAAGTACACAATTCTGTGGCTAACATGTATCGGATTCTCACCCTCCTGCTCGGACAAGCTTCGTAACTTGGCTACCAGCCCATACCATGGCCATTACTTTGAGGAACCTGCAGATGAACTGGAACTACTTAAGTTTCTCCAAAGAAGCCAAACATAGATCAACTGGAAAGGAAAAGAACTCATAAAGTTACAGTTACCGTTCAACTGCAGCAAGGTAACCCATTCTTCCAGGTGATGGAGCAACATAAAACCTAGAAACAAACAAAAATTAATGAGAATGAAATGGATAAACCATATGATATCGTGTAACAGAACAGATAGATGTGATTCTGGTTTTTCAAACACATTTTATTATCATGAGAGACTAGCTGTGGGTAGCAGTAAAACAATGTATATTTTCTCCCCTCACCACTGCTTGGTAATATTACTCTTATGCCTACCCCTGAAACTTCGTTGGAGTATTGCCTCTAGACACAAACTGGTTTTCACATTGGATAGCAGCAGGCGTTGTGCATTTGATATGTAAACTATGGCAGCTCGAAGGAATATGACAGGGCAAAGTTTTTATTGATACCCTGATATTTGATCACTGAAATCTTGTCTGTCACCATTTTCAAATGTTTACCTTAGGCCTTGCATGCAAAAGGCAACCAGCAACCTTTTTTTTTCGGTGTGTGTCATGTCTTTGTGTGTATGTATATACAAACAAATCAATGAGCTAGTTTTACATGCATAAATTCGCATAGGAATCCAAAAGATCAGTTAACTGCGATTTTAAAAAGAATCAGAGATTTCTCTTCGAAATGAAATGACCTCTTTGTATATTATCTTTCCACGATATGAGTTGACGAAAAATGAACATAAGCTTCCTTCGAAAGTACAATGAGATCTTTTCATAAGAGGAAGAAAAGCTGAAACTTCTCTAGTAAGGATTCAATATTCCTCATGCGCAATCTTTATTGATAGAACTACTTTTCCTCTCCAGCCACATCCACAAGAACTCACTAAAAAATCAATAGACAAAAATGTTCATGTTTTTTCCACAAGAAAAATCTTTTTTATTCTATTTTAATGTTGTTTGCCTATGAAATTGAAAAATGAATTTCTCCACAGGGTACAATTGAGGTGTGTAAGAATCTACAAACTTGGGCTTATAAGTTTTCTAAAGACCGAATAGCTGATGGAAATAGTGTATCACTGGTCAAATATGCTACTAAATATTGGAAGTAGAAGTACAAATGGTCCTATTGTTCACATCACATCACATACCACACAATAAGAAAGGTAGTAAGATAGTATGCAGTATTTAGTAGTCCATATGATAATACTCCTGCAACGCCATATCTTCTCAATCTTGTCAGAATACTGAAACGCAGCAAGGAAAAAGAATTAGATCTCAACATTGGGTGTTCCGCCAAACTGGATATTGCAAGTGTTCACCTCAGCATAGAAAGATGTGAAGAGAAAGTTCCACAAGATATAAAAACATATACCAAGACCATACTAGAATTTTATGTCAATAAAGAGAAAGAGAGGAGGCAGAAGATATTAAGAAAACTTGAAAATCTGGCCCCTATCATCAATTTAAAAACACATTAACTAATAGGTCATGAAAGACGTTACCAGGAGAAATAGCACTTCTGACATAGTTCGATACAGTATAGAGCATAAGTGAAAGGTTGTGTAGCTTTTTTTTGGTGGTTTCATTTTCTTTCTTCTGCTTCTTCTTCTTGTTCTTTTTAGAAGAGATGTTTGTTTGGTGTCATGTCTTTTAAAAGTGGAGATTTAGGAGAACTCTAGAACCATTGTTCCACCAGAATTATATTGTCACAAGTGATGGTATCCTCCAGTTGAACCTGATTGTATGACATTCCACTTAATATATTTGTTCAATATGTGAAGGAGGTGGTAATTGTTTATGTACCATAGCAAACAATATTTCTGCCAACTAAGGGAGGAGAAAATACCAAATGGCACAATTCTTACACATATTGAACTTGATCATACAACTCAAAAGTCAAAATAAAGAAGAGTCGAACATGGAAATCTGTATAGATAGCAATATCAAGCATGTCTCAGATTTTCCATACACTAATGGTCAAAGCAGTGCAAGAAGTGGGACTTACTTGTTTGATGTGAGTGATTCTGTTTGACTATTTTCATTGTTTTCTGCAGTACCTAGCAAGACATAAAAGTATACCCAAACATAAGGTTTGGGTGGTATGGAGAACATTATATATTAACTGTTACAAAGACATCAAATACACACTTTACTTTTTTGGAAAATACCTTTCTGATCTAGAGGACTATTTTGAAACTCTGGTGACTCGTAAACCTTGCCTTGCACAACAGTAGAGAGGTTAGCTACGAGATAAATCACCACATCATGAAACATAGAAGTAGTACCAAACTTAGGAAATATGGATAAGATTTGGGAAAAATTAAAGGAAGACCAACGAAGACATATTTGATAATACCAAACAGGGGTACCCTGTAAGTTTGACACATAGAATGCATGATATGATCGTCCCAAATACCATGTATTATTAGTCTTAAAGTGCATGCACCCTTAATATGACAACCAATAACAAAAACTACACCAGAATCCAAAACTAGTTTAAGTCTGCTACATGAATCCTCTATATCTATTCCACCTCTTTTTGGCTCGGTTCCGTCGACTACTCAATAGCTGTTTTTTAGGAAACATACCAGTTTTCATATGAATCCAGTGAGATCAATAGATCCAAATAGGGGAGTTCTAGCTACAACAGAGATTGGTGCTTAAAGTACTGAAAGACCTATGCAACTCATGAACAGAGCTGGGAAGGGGGCTTGAAGAGTCAAGCTTGCCCTGGATCGAAGAATGAAGCAAGCAAGAGGGTTCAAAGCCATTGGAAATGTGAATGCACGCCATCTCTACTGCAATTGCATCAGCAATATTTCTGGGATAACATGAAGCTAGTGAGTTAATTTGCGCCTGCGGCAAATTATTATGTGCAGTCGCATGACAGAGCCATAATGATCCAGTGGCTTCCGGAACCAAATGTGTAGAGAGTGAATGGAACTCCCTTAGATGCGTTAGCATCTCTTCCCCAAAGCTGAAACATGGACAAGGTTGTATTTTGAACCTAGTTTTAGAGAATCAATTCTTTGTATTAGTTCTTAATGGGCCTAACACCTTAACACTACAATATAGAGTTAGATTTCATTTTAATTAATCAACTTTTGATGAATTGAAGAGTTTCCAAGTTAAGCTTGAAAAAACCTCTTGTGACGTTGGGCGTTGCCCTCTATCTCTCCCTTTTGAGCCATAACTTGGATTACTTGAGATGACTGTCTAAGTAAAAGTTCCGTTATCTTCTCCCCCTTGTTTATTTTCTTATAATCTAACTTAATTGCTTGTCATCAAACAAGGATTTAGGTCCTATTTAAGAATGTGTTTGAGATTAAATTTAAGAGTTGGATTTCTTCAGCCTAATGCTCGATTGCTCGTGGGTGTTGATTATTTGTATTAACAGGGCAAGGCTGCCAACAATGCTTGGTTTGTGCATAATTTCATCCGTTAGTTAATTCCCATATATCCCTTTTATCCTTAGGTTCTGCTTCTGTGCTCATTCAGTAATTCTCCAAATTAGTGAAACCAAATCAGTAAATAATCTACTCTCAAGTGTAGGCACTCTAGTCCAAGGAATTCGAAAACACACTAATCCAATCAGTCAATCAAGAATAGACTCCTCAACTTCGATAGTACGATGTGTGAACGATCAATCAACTACGCTTAAACCCAAGTCAGTTAGGGTTGGTTATATAGATCCTCTATATCCATTCCAGTCTATTCAGGTAATAGCATTGCCGTAAAATGAATCGCGTTAGAACTCATCTCTACCGAGAGATTACTACTTCCTCTTCACTAATACATTACCTCATTAGTTGGGCACAACAATGTAGTAGAAAATAGATCTGCTGTATCTCTCTGCTCTGAAAAAGACCAGCTAACAATTGAACTAACAACTACATGAAAATGATTGTTTAAAAGATAAGGAATTACCAATTGTACTTTTTTCAAAATGTACAAATTTAGTACAGTATGTGATACTTAGCACCCACGGGTTTAAATCCTAAATCGAAAGAAGGCAATGCAGCAGATGAAGTCAGCGAATAAATTAACAAAAAACAAAAGGAAAAGAGAAGAGGCAGTTACACTATTATCTGCATTAATAGAACAGCGACGCAGCAGATGCCTCGAAGTTAACTGCTTTTGCGGCAGGTACAAGTGACGACAGCACAGCACGCTGGAAATGCTAACCTTCAAATATATATGAAATTAAACAAAACAATCTTGTCATTTATCAACTACTACGTCTTAATCTAAAACTTTCAAATTCAAATTAATTTTTTATTCAGGTAGGAGAACCACTATACTTTACCAAACTCACATAGGTAGAATTAAACGAAAAAAATTGGTTAATTCTTGAATGAAGAATTGAGAGCAAAAAGGGCTTACATGGCGATGGAGAAGGAGAGGTAATGAAGATGAAGAGCGAAGGGATGAAGAGAGTGTAATGGTAAGAGAGGAAGAAGACATGAATGGGAATTTAGAAAATAAAGGGAGCAAATTATAAACCGCTACTCTATTACGATGCCAAAGAGGATTGAAAAGAAGATAGCGACTTCTCGTTTCAAGATGGTTAAAGAGGGAAAATAATTGGGATGTTTACAAGAAACCAACTTTCCTTTGGTTTTTTTCTGTTACTTTTAATTTGGGAAAGATCAAAATTTACCTCTATTTTGGTATATTGTTCATCCATACCCTCCATGGGCCACCTTCATTGTTACCAAACCTTTTCAAAATACCCTCAACCAAACGAAAAGCCACCAAATTAAAAAAAAATCCGTTTTTATGAAAAAAGTATTGACCCTTAACTCATAACTCATACAATTAATAGCTTAATAAATTTCATTTTCCTCTCGTCTTTTTTCTTGTTTGCTTCCTAAGTTGAGTACGATTGATTAGGTTGTCATATATTGCAAAATAATTGGTCGTCACAGAGAAGGCCGTTATGGTTTAGTTGCCAACTACTTCACTTCCAACACTCCAAACCCGGAAAGAAGATTTTATAAATGTCCTAAGCCAAATGTATGTCACTTCATTTATAAAGTTTTTTTCACATGCTGGTTGTATTGATTCTTTTCACTCTTATCAAACTTAATTTTTAAGTATTCCTTTAGTGTTGCTAGCAGTAAGTTATTTGGATTGTGCTCAATAATTATTTCATGTGTCTATTGAAAATGGGAGGACGATGTACCTCGATAAAGTTTTAGTTGTAATAAGAAATTTAAAGTTGTCGTTGGATACCATTAAGATTGAAAGCGACAATTTGAATGAAAGAGTTGCTGCATTGGAGGCTATTAACATGTTGGAGATAAGCTTGTCAAATGTTCAAGTGATTTGTTTTACCTACCTTGCATGCATATATATACATGTGTGACATCACTTACAATGATGCAAGCAAGGTAGGTAAAAAGGCCTTCCCTAGAAAGTTGACTGCAGCACTATTCTGCACAGTAGCGTGTGCAGGCAGTAACTTTCCAGCTGGAAAGTTGACTTCGTGCAGTCTCCTCGGGAACTGGTAGGAACCTGGTCCCTCAGCTGTTCCTTCCACTTCTAAAGAGTTGAATCATATTCCCCGCTGAATCCCATCATGGGATCATGTGATCTTGAGGTCTTGTAAGTGTATAACAGGTTCCTTATCAGGTTCTTGATAGTAAGTTGGTTAGATCATTAGAACATAAAGTAAAGTAATTGTAACCTATCAATTTCCCCCTTTTTGATGATGACAAACTTATAATTTGAAGAGCTATAAAGAGCCAATTGTGAATCAAAAAGACCTCAAGTTCCCCTGAATACATTCCCCCTTAATCAGTGCAATTATTTTCCCCCCTTTTGGCATCATAAAAAGATCAAAATCAGTTAAGCAAGAAGGAAGTCTAGTTATAAGTTAACTCATGCCACATATGTGCATACAGTCATGATTAAGAGTAGAGCATAAAAGCACAGTACAAACAGCAACAAGGGAAAAGCTTACATTAACAAAGTTTTGGATTTTACAACAGGAGCAGAATCAATGTTACTACCACATCCACACAGTAGAACAAACAAACAAAAGTACTACAAGTTATCATTAGAAGAAACGACACAAAGCGACTGGACATTGAGGGGACATAATCTAGGAGGCATTGGTAGGAGTAGGTTTGGAAGCAGAGGAAATTGTTTGGAGGACTAGATCCATACGATCATTTGCTGACATTTGCTCATTGAGTAGTCTTTCTTTCAGGTCCTCCACTTGTTTCCTGAGCTCAGTGTTCTCCTTTGTCAGGCTAGCAACTTCTTCGTTCTGAGAATGACTGGAACCAGGTGCCCCTTGCAGCTGACTTATTTGAGTCTCAAGAATAGCGTTCCTTGCTTTCATTTGCCTTATCTCAGTAGTAGCACTGTTTTGAGCATTGATCAGCTGAGAAATAATTGAAGTGCTTGCAACCCCTCCAAATTTTTCTAAACACTCACATTCTTCAAGAATGCTCTTTGAAAAAGTTTGCTTCTTGGCACCCAGTTTAACTGGTTTGAGAGGAAACTTGAAGTGTTTGAAGACCTTGGTTAGAAGGAATCCATATGGCAGCCCATGATTACCATCTTTAAAATCAGCCACTTTGTTCATGTGCTCTATCATGATCCCAGGCAGATTGATGGTAGTGAAGTCATCCAATGCTTCCATGAGGAACTGGTCTGCGCGAGTGGTGATGGATCGTTGCTCAGCTCGAGGCAGCAACACTTTATTTACCATTTTCAAATAGCAATTGGTAAACGGGAAGGAGGGCCTTCTTTTGAACCTGCTCCCCCTGCTGAACCACTCCGTCCTTCAAGATTGCATTTCTGAAGTTCCGAGTACAAACTCCTTGAACACTAGATAACCCTTCAGTGGGCACACCAAGAATAGATCCTAGCAAAGCAACGTCTAATACCATATCAACGCCATTCACCAAGGCGCAAGTATGACCATCCTCAACCTTGTACAAGTCGGCAATAAAGCTTTGAACTTCCTCCTCATATACCCTAGAAGCATCACTTGTGAACAAATGTGTCCATTGCTGGAAATCACAGATTTCGACTAGCTATCTCATACCAGCCTCATCCAAGACATCAGAGGCGAATGTACGCCCCCATAGTACCTTTTGACTTCTCAATCTTTCTTTCCAAGCACTCCCCGGATAATCAGCATTGGCCTTCTTTAAGGAACCAGGTTCATCAGTAGTATCAACCTTTCTTTTAGTAGTCTTGCGGACACCTTTCTTTTTGTTATCAGACTTCATAGACTTTTCACCTGAGTCTTTCTCTATTCTTAGTAGCAGCAGCATCAGTAAGCCTAGTTCGACGTTTCAAAGACACAGAAGATCTCCCTTTTGGTTTGCGAAGACCATGCTTTTGTGACAACTTCCTAGTCAATGTACTAGGTTCCTCCTCATCTTCTTCTTCATCCACACTCACAATAGGAACCAACTCTTCATTTACAACTTTGCCATATTTCGCTAATTGTCTCCTCCTTGATTTAATCTGACTGTTCTTAAGAGCAGACGCAAGAGCCTCCTGCTTTTGCAACCTTGTCGTGGGTCACTTAGAAGTGGGCTCCTCACCAACAGCTACTCTTCGCCTAGGCAGACTTGCGATTGGTAAGTCATCAGAATCTTCTGCACTATCCTCCTTTTGATTGTCAGACGCAGGAACTGTCTCAGGCATGATTACAATCAGAGGTTCAACGTTGACATGAGGAGAGGGAGCAGGGTCAGGACTGACCTGGGGTTCCTGAGTAGGACCCGGAGTTGTATCTTCCGAAGGCGGATCAGGTCCTTCAACAGGTTCCCCAGTAGTACCTTCTTGTGCTGAAGGATCAACAGGCATACGCTCACTATCCTCCTCAACAGGATCAGAAGCTTACCCTTGAGCCTCAAGACCATCCTCACTTCGAAAAAACCTCTTTATTTGCGATGGACAACATATTTTCGATTGCTTCCTTTTCTTGCAGATTCATGAGGGGCTCAGGAGAAATAGGAGAGGCACATGTGGACTCAGGTTCAGGAGCAGTCTCTGTTGAGTCGATGACTTTATTTCCCTCAACCTGGTCTGCTTTTGACTTTTCTTCTATAGGAGAACTTGAGATTTTTTGATTTTCTTCATTCTCAGAAATATTCGTGACATCCCTCTTTTCTGGCAAGGTAAGAGATGAGCTCTGGGCAACACCTCCTGCGAGAGTTGATGCTTGGTGACTCTTGAGAGAGCAGGAACTTAAATGGGTAGGAGAGGAGATGGAGAGTGAGGGTGACTCTGTTCTAGGGTTTTGGTCATCAGTAGTGTGAGGAGGAGAGATTGGTGCTGGTGTTTCGACTAGTGAGGACTCTATAGTACTGGAAATCGTTTGATCTTCAGCCATGCTGAGAAGAGGAGAAGATTTGGTGACCCGAAGAGAGAGTGAACAGGGAATAGGTTTGGAAGTGTTGATGTGTGAAGTGTGGTGACAAAGATAGATGTATTTATGATGACAGAGGTATTGTTTAGAAAAAGGGCGGCATATTTTAGGGAGATGGGTCGATCTTATAACTGGTGAGGCGTTTGAGTTTAAAAGATGCAAAAACTAAAAGCTGACATGCTGATGATATGGCAAATATTTTGATTGTTCAGAATTGTGCATGGGAGAACATAGAAACTACTAACCTGTGTCAGGAGAATCAGGTTCCCCGGCTGATCTCTTGTTTGTAAGCTTTGCCCTTTTTACCAGTGTGTATAACTTCAAATGCTTATTTGCTCTGTAGTCATCAAGCGTGTCTACCTATAACGGTATAGAGATGAGTTAGACTTTACCAGAAAACACCTTTTAGCTAAGTATACCCGAACCTTTCTTTCATAGCCAATCATTAAGGGACCGGGTTCTTAATTGTGTTTTATCAACCCCAATGCCAGACGACTTTGCTCGAAATGTTCTCTGCTCAGGGCCTTGGTAAATATATCTGCAATTTGGTCTTCAGTGCTACAGAATTTCATGCATATAAGTCCTTTCTCAACATTATCTCTGAGAAAATAGTAACGTACATCAATGTGCTTTGTCCTCTTATGTTGAACTGGATTTTTGCCATGTTGAGTGCACTAGTATTATCGCATAAGAGAGTCACACGGTGTGAGAACACTCCTAAATATTCCAATTGTTGCTTGATCCATAAAAGTTGAGCACAACAAGAGGCAGCTGCTACATATTCAGCTTCTGCAATTGAAAGTACCACTGATTTCTGCTTCCTTGTACCCCATGAGATTAAGCAGGAACCCAGGAAGTGTGCCATCCCAGAAGTGCTTTTCCTGTCCACCAGATATCCAGCATAATCAGCGTCAGCATACCCAATAAGATCAAAACTGTCTCCTAAAGGATAATAGAGGACCAGGTCCCGTGTTCCTTTGAGATATCTCAGTATTCTCTTGGCAGCCTTCAGATGAGATTCCTTTGGATTGGATTGAAACCTTGCACAGAGACCCACACTAAAAACAATGTCTGGTCTGCTTGCAGTGAGATACAATAGTGGCCCTATGATTCCTCTATACATGGTCTGGTTTACAGGGGAACCCGGTTCATCTATGTCTAGACGAGTGGCTGTCGCAATGGGCGTGTCGATAACTTTTGAGGATTCCATATCAAACCTTTTCAACAGCTCCTTGATGTACTTTTG